GGAACCTTGGAGGTCATCTAGTCCAACCCCCTGCTCACGCAGGAGACCTATACTAGGGATTTGAACCACCGAACTGCCGACCTTTCTGATCGACAAGCTCAGTGTCTTAGCCACTGAGCCACCTAGTCAGGCTATACCATAGTTGTCAGCTGATCAAGGGATAGATATTGATCTTCCCCACCCATCTTGACTTTGGTCAATCAAGGCTTTGATATAACTTTTTCAAATAAAATAAAGAAGGTGTAGACTAGGTTGTCAGCCTTAGTCATACCTGTGCCATATGCAGCATCCCAGTTACCATCAGTTTTGACACATTTTGCCAGTATGTGACAAGCATAATTTTATTCAAATGAGGTTCTCTAATTCGGAGACTACCTTACGGTATACTTGAAGCCTACATCCCATTAACTAGGAGATACTGCAAACTACTGACATCCACTCCAGGTGCAAACCTGCTCCTGAGTATTATGTTAAATGTTAATACAGCATCAATACATAGTACAACTTTCTATCTTTTCATCCCTTGACAAATGTGTCAAAGCAAAGTCTTTTATGCATGAGCATACTTCTATGTCATTTAATAATTTAGATGACTACAACTTCATTATGTGCAAATTAGCCTTAAATTCATCATTACTTTCTTGGATCATTCTGACTCGGGTACTGTTTTCACAGCTTTTTATAGGAGATAAATTTTGCAACGCACAAGCCTTCGCCAGCATTCTTGGGTCCAAAAGGGATATTAAAGCCCCCCTCCTCATTTCAACAGCTGAACGTAAGGGAATGCTTTTATACATGGCTTCCAGCTGGCATTTCCATGGAAACAGAGAACTTGATTATCCATTCACTCACATGTGTGTAAATGGGTGAATAGTATTTCCCATCACAGAACGTTTGTGAAAAACTGAAAAAAAAAGGAGAATCAAGCCATCTCTTCTTTATGGAGTTTGTCATTGAATACATATTTCTATAGCAGCTGTATTTAAACCCTTGAACCGACTGGCAGAAACAAAGATGTATATTGTATTTCAGAAGGGAAATTGATATATGTATCATTATAGCAATGCCAATTTATCCTATTTATTTCTATATCTGTGTGTGTGTCTCTCTCTCTCAATATATTCCTAAATCCAGCAATTAACGAGTTACTCTTTCATAAAAATTCTATGACATTATGGGGTTACTTGGTTTATATCTCAACTGTCCAGCAAAAATTATATTAAAAGTAGCTCACCATAAAGTATAAAACAATAAACAAATATATAAATCAAAGAAAAATACTTCTAGAAGAAAAAGATTAAAAGTTCAAATTTTCAGCTAGGAAATATAAAGATTAAAGAAACAGAACAAAGCTCTTATGGTAAGCCCGAAATGCTACTGCATCTTTGAGCAAGAGTTTGGCACTTGTCCCTTTTTTGCTGTGAGGTGTAATTTCAAGGTTACTCACATCTATACTGCTGAGCACAAAGTAATGATTCATGTCTCTGTAGTTGAATATTTGCCATGGTTTCTCACAGAAGGAAAAACAGAACTCCTGTCACTTTCTTGAGAAACACTGAAATAATTCAGAGTTTTTTTCCTTGGTATTGCTGTGAACCAAGAATTGTCTTTCAAACCGTTCAATTTCCATTCCTGCGTACTTGAAGCAGGCATGATCCCCAAAATTTGGACATTGGAAATGTGGTAGAAGTTGCCAACTTGCTTGAGCTGTAGCGTTGTTGCTATAGAGAACATCGGAAACAAATATTTGCAAGATACTGTATATCATGGTTCCCTTCAGCCTGAAGCTCCTGGAAGAAGAGTTATGGAAGTTCACCATCATATCCTGAGGAGCAGAAATGTCTCTCTAGTGGCTACAATGAAGAGCGAAAAAGGACGTGGGGTGGGGGGATAAAGTACAACATGGACAGACTTGAACTGAAGAAGCTTCTTGGATGAGAAGCAAAATGTCTTCAAGGAAAAACGAAGTCCACTTGCCTTTTGAAAAGTGCCTTTGGGATGGACATATTTGCTTTGTCTGACATTTCTGGAGAACTATTTTTCTGTACTAACCATGCCAAAAATTGCCTGAATAATTCTCTATAAGTGTTCCTTAAACTATTGGTATGCTGATATTACTGTTTTACAGAGCTAGAGCTATAAGACCAACTGAGGCAAATCAGCAAAGATCACAACCATGAATCTTTTACATTTATTCATGGCGTAAAAATAGCTGAATTGAGCCTGACAATGTTTGCACACTTGTATAATTTTGGAAAGCAGTGTTAAATGTTGCATGCTCACCCAGTTCAGGGAAAGTCAAAAAAGAAAATATATACTGTACCTAAAAAAATCCACCTTGATTGCTGCTATAAGCAATTTTGCATTGTAAACGAAAAAAGCAAAACATATCTCAGCCACGTCTTAAAGCTTCTAATATAAATCTATCTTCCTCCTGCATTCATTGTGTGTGTGTGTGTGTGTGTGTGTAGATAAGGATGGATATTATCCTTGCTTACACTGGCTAGCATCTGTTGCCCCCCCCGCCCAGAATATTTATGCGAGTAATAAAAATCTCAAATTCACTGTCCCCAGGGGTCTATCTAGAATTTATTTGAATTATATTTATGTCCTATGCTTTGAAATCAATGGAACTTGAGTCATAATGAAATATTCACACCTTTTCATAATAAAAGTCCTAACAGGAAACTTCTTGATATGCACTCTAGGAGAGACTTTACCCCTGACAGAAGATTACTCCTTGATATGAAATTCATAGGCGTGTTTGGTAGGACAGAGTTATGTTGGCAGCCTATTAGATAAATTGGGAAAAGGTTGAACAGAGACATCTCTAATTGGTTTGTCAAATGGAGACTGCCTGCTACAATACTGTAATTAATTATACCTGCTTAACCTGCTTGTATTCCTTTTCTAGGAACTGGACTGGAGATTTGTTAATATTGCCACATCCCACTATGGATATTCTCATGGATCTATACATTGTTCAAATAAATAAATAAAAATAAACGAAATGTTTCTTTCACCCATGCCTTCTAATGGACCAACAGAGCTCGACCTCAGCATCTCCTGGATCTGAATTGTAAAACCATGGAATACTCCAGGCTCCAAATATGTTCTGAGATGAGGAATGAAAGACATTTCGAAAAGTCACTGTGACCAAACCATCCTAAGGAAGAGAAGGTGCCCCAGAAGAAGAAATAAGAACTACTTGACAGATTGAGGGCAAAGCTTCGTCTCTGTGGAGAATTCTAAATATGAATCTGTCTTTTGTCAATGTGCTGAAGAGAGGAACCTGGCAGGGTAGACAGAGGAGACTCTGTCAATAGCCTTGGCTCCCACACAGCTCAGCCTGTTCACTCACTCTCTGCTTTTCACTTCTGCATCCCAAGAAAATGCAGTGGGTCCTCATCGCCACCCTTCTTACAATCCATTATGCTCAGCAGGTAAGTAAGCTCTTTAGAAAAATGACCTTGTCATATCAAAGACTGATCTGTTTATTTGAACAGGCCAATTTTCCTTTGAGAAAAGGCTAGGTCATAATAATCAATTGCTCCTACTTGCTTGCATTAGTTGTCTGTGTGAAGTCACATTTTGGAGAGTTCTTGATGGAAATCCTTTTCTTCAAAGCTTTCAATAAGTTGATAAAGTAAAGTATATGTCTTTATGAGTATAAAGAACCACACAATATAAGCTGTAGGGTCCTTTGTTTAGGATCGTCTTGCAGTTTCATAGCATGAACTAGTCAGGTTCTAAAGGTACACAATGCTATCAAGCTGCTGTCACTTGAACTACATTGATCCGTTTTTCCATGAACACTAAGAATTATCCAAACTTATCAGAAACAGGCTTTATAAAACAGTTAATTTTTTTTTTACTATGGATTTACAGAAGAGGCTTTTTGCTTAATAACATCTTTCCCTCATGAGATTTCTACAAAGTGCTGCTATTTTAATTTCTGCCCTGTGAAGTTAATTGAGAAAGCTTAAGCGTTAATTTTGTATAATGTGAACACAAGAAGACAAAATTAGAAATATATTGTAGACCATTCAAATTATAAAAAGGCAGATTAATACTGTAAGGCATAAAATGGAGACATCTAAAAATTTTAAGGTGATCTGATCTGTTAGTCTGTTAAGCATGTGGGTTATTAAGGGATAATTTTTATATATTCTTCAAAATTCAAGTTGTTTATCTGTTTTATGGTGAAAATGTGCTTCCCAAATCATGCTATAATTTAATTAACATAAATTAAGCTATTCTTTTACATGGATACAGTGCAATAGGATTATATCATATGATATTAATTGCAAATTGGCTCTTTGTTATCTTAATAGAATGAAAGTCTTACTTAAATTGGTGTGAATATTTCATAATGGCTCAAGTTCCTTTCATTTCAAAGTGTACGACATAAATAATCCGGATTCACACTACAGTCTACAGCAGGAGGGATTAAAGGTTTACCTGAATTTACTGATTGCATATTCAGCAGATACCAGATCCAGGCTGCAAAAATCTGGATAAGGTCATATTTTGTATGTTGCTTTTCTGCCATCTTGTGGTTCTCTGGATTTTTGCAGCTCAAATCTGCTAGCCTATTTTATTTTATATTATTGCTTTTTAATTTTATTTATAGTTGATTGCTCAACTCCTGTTACTTTTTTGAATTCTGGAAAGGACTTTTGAATTAGATGGACTTCTAGTTGGTTAATTAAACCAGAATTAGAGCTGAAAGAAGCATTGTTATAGTGCATGGAATGAAATACAAATGAAGAAATAAAAAGGAAAGCATGATTTTAGATGTGCCTGGTTCTCAAAAATTTGGCTTGCATGAAATATGCAAGTCCATTTTGCCTCCAAGTTAGGAGCTCAAGTAAGATCTTCAGCTTCCTGAATGATGCCAAATGTCTTTATTAAAATTATAATTTTTAAGATCATTAAAATTAGGGGCACGAGCAGAAAATAAGATTTCTCACTACCTCAAGGGAGGCAAAATCCCACAATTGAAGAATGAAGCTAGCTTTTGTTTTATTTTAATTTAAGCACAGAAGCTAACACTCTGCGATAATTTGGGATTTCAATTCAGAGAATTCCCAACTGGAGTCCAGGTTGGAGAATGCTGTTACCAAGGATATTACCTTGAATAAGTGGATTCAGTCACTGCAACATGTTGTGCTTTGTTGAAGAAACTCCACATGGGTGGGTTTACAAATAACACCAACCAAATTGTTTTACAAATAACAATGATTCCATGCATCCAACATGCTAAGGCTAAGCCAAATTATAGTACTGGCTAGAGTGTTATATGAACCTACTCTAAATGAAAAGTAATATGTGAAGTCTCTGTAGGAAAGCAAATGTTCTTTGTTCCAGAATATCTTAATTTGGTACTTTATTTGTCCTGCTACTCCAATAATCTTTGCTTAGTATACTCACTGGCTGTGGTGATTGGGGGTGATAGGGGTCATCATCATCCTTGTCAGCCATTCATTCACGTCTGACCCTTGGCCACTCTATGGATCAGCATTCTCCATGTCCCTCTGTTTCACATCATCTCTTTCAGATCCACCATGATCATCCCAATGCCATCCTTTATAGTATCCAGCCAGCGGTTACTAGTGGCCCCTTCTCCTTTTTCTGCTTATCACTCCCACCATGAATGACTTTTCGAGTGAGTCATTTCTCATGACATGACCAAAGTACGACAGCCTTTGTTTGGTGAACTTGGCTTCAAGTGATATTTTTGGGGAGGTTCAACCTAGGACTTCTTGTTATTTTTGTAGTCCATGGGATGTGTAATAGTCACCTCAGCACCACAGTTCAAAGGCATCCAGCCTTCTCTCCCATCTGCCTTTTTCAGAGTCCAGGTTTCGCAGCCATAAGTAGCAATTGGAAAAAATTATTGCGTTAACTAATCTTCCAAGTGCTATACGCATTCTGATCTCAGGGCTGCAGTCATCACTTTGGTCGATTTTAGAACCCAGGAAGAGATGAATTCCTTTACTGTTTTGACGGTGTCATTGTCGATCTGCACTGTGTGTTGTTTCCAGTTGCCATTATCTTTGTTTTCTTGATGTTAAGATGCAATCCAAATTTTGGGATGATAGGAACTGTAGTTAAATCCATCTGTAATGTACTGAATCAGATAAGTACAAACGAATCTGTCTGAAAGGACGACACATTTTCTGGTCTGCATTTTCCATGTAGACTGATAGTAAAACTGTATGAAAACCTTTTGCAGCATCAACATCCTCCTCCATGAACTGCCCTGGTCCACATAGGTATAGTCTCAAGGCGAGTCAAGTTATTTTGGCCATTTACCCTGATTGGTAGAAAAATATAATAATGAATCTATTTCCTGAGGCACCTGTCTTGACCTGTCTTAAGGTAATGTGTACCCTGAGTGATATGGACTGTTTGCTTGTTTGGCACACATCCATCAACATCTACAGCCAGTGCAACGTCAGACAAAGTCTCCTTCCATCTGGATTTTTAATGTATGTATTAATAAACCAAGCACACTTGACTTGGCTCTTTGAACCTTAAACACAGCTGAAGAGAGCATACAGATACGCAATTCAATTGTAGTCCAGTTAAACCCGTTTTCACTATGCCTGCATGCCAACAAAAGTCATGCTTAGACCACAATGTGACACAGACATCCTATTTGGCCCAATTTGCCTTGACATTCCTGGTAAGGGGTGGTTATCATTTGGTTGGTAGGCTTGTGCCTCAGAAATAGAAGAGGAAATGTCTTTTTCTGTGGCAAGGCTTGTCTAGCTAGGGAAGATTGATGATAGACCTATTCATTGTCCTCTTGCCTTGCTCCTGGCTCTTCAATGGCTCATGAGATCAGGCTGTAAGGAAACACATTAGGCATTACTATTAGGACTCCTAAGTAGATTTCTATGTGTTATGCTATTTTGTATTTTAGGAATCATTATGGTGGAAGAGTAATTGTACAGGTTGTAGAGTGTCCCACCCTCTTGTAATAAAGAGGTATTAATATTCAGGATTTTGTGGTACTTGGAAGAAAGTTGTAATATTTCATTGCAAGCTTTCCAGCTCTCAGATGAGTCCACCTGTATGAAAGCTTTCTTTCAGGGCATCAGGCCAGAGGCAGCAGCAACGAAACAGTGGAGAAAGCGCAGCAAGCAGTGAACTGCATCAGCGCCAAGAGTTATGTCACTGGCCCTGCAGATGCCCACCTGTGCCAAGCTGCAGTCCTGGGGTGAGCCTGGTGAGAGATGGCTGTGGATGTTGCTGGATGTGTGCCAAACAAGCAAACACCACCTGTAATGAAGCAGAGGTCTGTGACCATCACAAGGGACTCTACTGTGATTACTCTGCAGATAAGCCTAGGTATGAAAGAGGAATATGTGCATGTAAGTCTTCACTGTTTTCTTTTCTATTTCGTATAAAGGGGCAGCAGGGCTGCAAAGAAAATGACACTCCCAACTGACCCACATTCTGTACCCTGCTATTTTTCTTCCAAAACAGAGACAAATGAGCACACTCTGGAAGACTGACTTGGATCACTCTCTGGAATAACAGAGGAACATTTTCTTTAGCTATCAATTAGACTGAGAATTAATTGAACAAGTGAATTTCTGAACCGGAACTTTCTTAATTGTTAGAAATCTAATCCCACCAAAGAGCTCTCCAAAGCTAACTAAACAGATCTCCCCTTTAAAAAGGATTTTTAGGATTAGAAAGCTGAGATAATGGAGATATTATTACCGTTAGATCCTGTTTTCTTACTACGGAAAATACTGAAGAACAGCCGAAAATATGAAATATCAAGCAAGAATACTTCAAATCGTAACAAACCTGCATGTGGGTTTTTATGTGCATGCAAAGTTTTTTGAATAGTGTGAAACATTAATACTAATTATTGCTTCATTATTTATTAAATTTATATGCCGTCTATCTCCTTGATAGGTAACTTCATAAATGTCACCTGCAATATTTAATTAACTGATTTTCCTGACATTTATTCATTCTGTTTTGCTATTTCAAGATATGATAGCTGTTGGCTGTGAGCTGAGTGGTGTGTACTATACCAATGGCCAATCTTTCCAGCCTTCTCCTCTCTTTTCGTGCCTGTGTGTGAATGGTGCAATTGGATGCACACCGGTATTCATCCCAAAGTCAGCATCAAATGACTGTGCATTGCTGAAGGACAAAAAAAAAGCTGGACATTCCAAATGTGCTTCAGGGCATTTGGAAGAACGGCGATCAAGACATTACCGAATAATGTCAGGTATAAAAGATTGGACCAATGAAATATTATAGGCGCTAAAAAAAGAAGACAACATGTTGCCTTATTAAGGAAAAGTTAATAATAAGTATTTTTTATTTATTTGTTAAATTTAGTTGCCACCTATCTTGCCATAGGGCTGCTCTACTTTTCTTTTTCTTTTTAACCCAAAAGCAACAAGATTTGAGAACAGGGCTGGCCACTCCACATCTGCCAGATATCCAAGAATATCCTACTTCCCTGGGAAATCAAAATTCATTCCAAATCACACACATGGCTGCTAAAGTTTCAGGATATTCTGGCATTATCATGAGATCTTGTGTGATTTCTGCGATCTCATATGAAATGTCTACCTTGAGAGATTGGTTTTCTTTGGGTGGGGGGGCAGGGGAGGAAGGAATGCCTGGCCCACTGCATGGTGTCAAACTCAGGGCCAGAAAAGCTGATGTCCGTTTTGAGCTTGGTGGGAAACTCCACTTTTTAATTTGGGATTCAAGGATACCAATCCTTTTCTCACACCTGACAGATTAGGATAAATAAGCAATTGTGGAAATGCTGCCTCAAATTCTAAAAATGTAATTATAGTTCAAGCAGCTTACCACTTTTATGCTATAAATGCATGGTTTGCATGCAGTATTATAAATAATTGTTTTTGAAGTTGTTTATTTTGCCAGATGCAAAGCTTTATTGGAATGTCCGCTACTTTCTTGCTTTCCTCATTTACTATCCTAGTTAACAAGTCCCCTTAGTAAAGGCAATGCAATTATTTTATATACAATAAATCTAAATATACTATCTGTTAAAATATACAGCTTTGTAACCTTGCTTTATTTATTTCAGATCTGTGCCAGGTTTTTACTTTGCTTCCTGCACTGAGATTTTAAACTGCTGTTTACTTCCCAGGTATCCTGGCTCTTCTGCTTTGTCCCTTGAGCTGTGCACTTTTTATATCTGGTCAGTCATCCTCTGAAACCCCATCAGGATTTGCTAATGGAGACTTTAAAAAAACAGTTTAACACAGAGAAATGTTAGTGCTTCAAATTTTTAAGGCCATTCATCTTGAAGAAAAACAAATTCTTATAGAATTAAGTTCAAGAGTAAGATATTTGAAGAGGCACACATCCATTGGCCAATTCTGCAAAAAACCTTAACCTCATGAATTTAAATACAGTGGATTTTTAAAAAAACATTTTAATCATATTTTATCTTACCATATTATGGTTTGCTCACTGAGCCCTGATTGGAGGTATCATTCAATATTTTTAACCTTTAGATTCAAATGTAAAAAAATTAATATATTTCTGCTTTTTAGCTTTCAGAAATGTTCCTCTTGTTTTGAAAAAGAAATGCCTGATACAAGCAACTCCATGGACACCTTGCTCCCAAACTTGTGGTATTGGCATCTCTGACAGAGTGACCAATGGAAACAGTAAATGTGAAATGAGAAAGGAAAAGAGACTATGTTATATTCAACCCTGCCAAGCAAATTTTACAAAGATTCTGAAGGTAAATTGTGATGCCCAAACTGCCTCCTTATTCAGAGAGCAAATGCTTGATGAACGCGGTTACAAAAAGAAATACAGTGCATGGATGATTGTGCAGAGCTATCATTTTGCCCTTCAGTTGAGTTATGGGCTAGGAAATAGTAGGGCTGAGGAACAGGAGTCAGGATTAATAGCTCATTCATTATAACTCTGTAGGCCTTTTCCTACATTGCTTTTATATCTACCAATTTCTTCTATTTAAGGATTTGTTGCCTTCTCTCTTTGTTTTAGTGATTGCTGATAGAGGGAGTAGGCATTTTACCTCAGTTGCATGAGTTCTTGTGCTGGCAGCCCATCCTGCTCAAACAGGGCTAGGAGGAACTTTAGCCATCATTAATTTTTAAATGAGATATCTTGAAAATATACCTCCCCCCACACACATATTATAAATTTACTTGACCAAATTATGTAAGGGCATTTAAAAAGCTGCCCTAAATTCTACTATGTATGTAATGTGCATTTTGACCATAATTTCAACTGTATTCTGTTTATTTTCGAGATTCCAAAAGGAAAAACATGTCGGCCCACATTTCAGCTTGCTACAGCTGAGAAACTTGTCTTCTCTGGATGCACAAGTAGACAAATATACAAACCTGTGTTTTGTGGAATCTGCCTGGATAGGAGATGCTGCATACCGAATAAATCTGTCATGATTACAGTACAGTTTGATTGCCCTGAAGAAGCATCCGTCAAGTGGAAGATGATGTGGATTACATCTTGTGTTTGTCAGAAGATATGCAATGATCCAGGAGACTGGTTTTCTGAACTCAGGCTTTTATAAGAAATGTGTGGGAAGAAAATACCACCTCCTCCTTTTTTGCCATGAAAAAGGTGGCCACATCCGTACTGAATGCCATTCACCCAATATACTGTATAAAATATTAACCAAAAAGATTATTTTAAAATACTTTTGAATGTCTTGAAACTGTAGGAATAAAAAGAAAGTGTATGAAAAAAAACCCTCTTATTAGCACTATTACAGTCACTCTGAACAAGAAGCAAACAACTAGTAGACTAATTTGCTGATTTCAGCTAGTGTGCTGATTTTAATACAACTCCTGAACATAATAAAACAGATTTACTTCAATGTGGTTATATGCTTGAGAAAAATGTCTTCATGCATATGGATGGACCCATTTTATGTTATAGATTTGGCTTGCTCGTTACAATTTGCATGTTTCTGGAGTAGGTAGGTATCTTTTTAAAAAAATCTGTGCATCATAACATGATTCAAAATGTCCACCTTTCATAACTCAACATTGCTATGTAATTTAGTTTGCATTTAGCAGTAATTCCCCAAATTTCAGCCAATAGCATAGCAAATCTAGCAATGCTGTACATATACTTTTGTAGAAATAGAGACTGTAAAATTTCATTTTTCACTCAACCTGAAGATATGCTCTATAATTGCTGTTTTTGTTATACTTTCTACCTGACCATCAATAGAAACAGGAAGGATCCTGGTCTGCATGAGATTATGACAGTGTTTCACTTTCTAGAACACATAGAAAAATTCATTTAAAGCTACAGACTTCTGAAAGACTGCCTTGCACTTGGCTCTGAATCAGGGTAACAGGCAGTGAAACTAGCAGTATCCATGCCTAAACCTCAGTTAAACTGGGGTAGCTGATAGAATCAGAAACAAGGAACTGGGTTTTAGACTAGACAGTTTTTACTTCACATTGGGATTTCTGTCTGCAACGAACCACAGAGGTCAACACATTCCAAGTTCAACACAAGGGATTTTTTTTACATTTATTAAAGTATTAATAAAAATATAATGAGAAATATTTATATTCAAAATGTGCTCATTTCAAAAAATATACATACAAAAATAAACAGTGCTTAAGATAAAAGTGCATTTCACAATATGAAAATTGAGATTTGCATTATCCAATCTCCGTACAGCCTCTGTGCAAGATATAAAAATATTTTACGAAACTGTTGGGCAGATTGAATGTTTCCACTGTCTTTCAAGAGTAACAGTACTTCTGATTGTCACAAAAGATCATTGTTAAGAATTTATCAGCCAGAACTGGTCTTACATCTTCCCAACTGAATTCAGTACTCACCATGGGTTAGACTGCATGTGCAGTTTTTGCAAATATTGATTTTTTTTCCTGCTCTATCCCTGCATTGCTACATCACGATCTTCAATCTTGGTGGATCTACTGTAGGGCCACTGTTAGCAGCTTCAAGCTGATTATAGTCCTCTATTAAATTTGACAGCGATGAAAGTGCTTCAGAGAAACAGTTCTGATCCATCCCATCAACATGTAGGTAATGATGAAGGTGAGCCTGCAGAAACAAGTATTAACTTCAGTCATGCAGTATATATTTTACTGGGATAAATATTCCACATAAATGCAATTGTTCTCCTAAAATTGAAAAGTAAACAGAACACATGACCACTTATGGTGGAAAATCAATGGAGTGTAGTTTTTTAAAAAAAATCTAGGATATCATCTGTCACTTGCACCCCCCACCCCACCCACTCTCTCTCTCACAGTCTTTTTCTTGTTCCCTTTCTCTCCCATTCTTGTTATATAACTTTGCACTGCAGTCAACTGGCCATTTATATACCTTCAAATATATTACAATCTTACTATTCTGGGAAACAGGGAAGCCAACTGACATGAGTAGTTTTTTTTTGATACAGAAGATTTCCTAATATTGAGAATAACGCAAGTACAAATGAACTAATTAAAATAGTTGCATGACTTCTCATTTTAGGGCATACCTTTTTCTTGTACAACTTCATGAATCTCTCTTTGAGTTCAATGAAAGTTGGTTTAATGCAGGTGTTATTTGCCAGTGCCAACAAAGAATGGGAATGGCCAACTGGAGGTACTGAACATAAACCAGTTTTCCATCCTTCTTGATTCCAGGATACAAACTGAAGTGAAGGCTTCAACCTGCAACCAGCAAATTAGGGCTTGAAATAATAACAAGCAATAGTGCTACATTATGCTTCGTAAATGAACTATATTTCCAGGTAATAAAGTCAGATTGTGATGACAAGATTAGACTGGCATATCTTAAGGGTGCCTAGTTGGAGAAGATGCCATTACACAAAGCAAAGTTAGTGGCAGATTTAACTATTTCCAATGATATTTAAATTGATGTCCACAGCACTAGTATGCAATAAAGTATGCAATAAAGACCTTCTAACTATCCTATTAATGGAAGTGTGTTCAAAAGCATATGCTAAATCTGAGTTTTACATTCTGTGTGCTAATTTCTAAACCACATCATATTGTGATGGGATGCCTAAAGGATCTTGGGAACGCAGAGGAGGCGAAAACAGCTTTGTTACAAAAGAGATTCTTGAGTCCAGGGAGGTGGTGGTGGGGGAAACACAAGAAAAAGAATATGCCTTCCTTAATACAGCAGGTGTAAATTCTACAGGATAATGACTCTGTAGGCTTTATGATTCTTACATATTCCTAGCAATACATATCTTTCTAGAAATCCAAATGACTCTTGTTTTCTGTGTTGACCTTGCAGGGCTTGATATATAAACATATACTGTATAACATTACATGCACATCAAATGCTATGTTAGGGAAAATGTAAGATTAAATTACCAAATGTTTCTGTATTCTCAACAATATAATCATTTAATCATCATTTAGGCATAACTGGGCATTAAAAAGAGATCACACTAAGTTGGCCTTTTGAAAAAGCAGTTAATAATTCTTGAGAACATATGTTTTAGTACAAACCGTTCAATATTTCTACGAAGATCTGAAACTTGTACGTTTCCTCTGACTAAGAGGGCACAAGCAAGGTACAAATTATGTCTTGGATCAGCTCGTAACAGCTGGTGTTCTTTGCTAAAAGCATCAGAAAACATTTGATCCAACCTAAAAAACAGAGGAATTGGTTAACAGTATTAAGAATATATGCCAAATAAGATAAATACGTATTTTGTATATATTCTGGTTGCAAGTTTTTAGAAACTATATAATAGTTATGAATAGTAAGAACATATTTGTGAATTTCCTACAATCCCCCTGTTCCCGAAAGGTCAGGTACAAGTCCTATGGCATCTCAAAAAACAATAAAATCCTTCTGAAAAGGAAAAGAAAATCAGATTTATTCGCAATACAGCAGTCTGAAAATATAGCAGTCTGGACAAAAGAAATACGGATTTTGGTCAAGTGAGCAGAAAGCCTCACGTCTCCCAAAGAGATGTAGTTAAACTAATACAATCCTTAGGTCAGAAAGGTCTTAGGTTTTAATTATATATTACTTGAAATAATGAAAATGAATTCTTCAAATTTTAGCATCCTTATTTACACACATCACAAAGGGTTGAGAACTAGCAATAATAGTATCAATACACAAAAGGATAACACAAAAGATAAGCCAGCTGCTTATCTTCTCAGTGCAGTTAGCAAATAATATGCCAGAGGCTTAAAACTTTAAGAATGGATGGAAATGGAAAGTATAACTGAAGATGAGCAAGCAGTTGACACAAGGCTATGCATTTAAAATATTTATTTTATTTTATTTAGACTGCTGATCATTGATCCAAAGAAATTCAATTTTTTTCCTATGGATGTTACAAAGCAGATTCATTTTCAAGTTAGTATACAGTTGTCATTTACATGTAAAAACAAAGCAGCCAAGTGTTGGAAGTCTTCAAAGCACATTGCTATTGACAAATTACCTTTCTAGGAACAATGTTGAATAATAATACTCACCTTCGAGAAGGCACATTAACATCAGCCAGAGTATAAAGAGGAGTTAAACTGGAAACTAGATAATGAAGTCGAGGAAAGGGAACCAAGTTCATGCTGATTTCATTAAGATCCATATTAAGAGATCCTTCAAATCTAGCAGAGCTGAAAATAACATAAAGTTGTATAAAATCAAAAAGTCCTTTGATTGCTTGAGAAAGAGATTACATCTTCTCTGCCAAGTTATGTGGTGCTTTAATAGCTCTGAGTTTAACAATCAGATTAATCATAATACTTATTTCAGAAGGGTAGAAAAGCAAAAAAAAAAAAAAATCCTGTGGCTTTGCCCTTATTACAAGGCCCAGGCTGATGGAAATTCTACATAAGGATTTGCTGATATTTTGCAAAGCTATACCTATCCATTATGCAGAAATGCTGCAGAAACAAAGTTTTAAACATTCCATTCAAAGCCAAACAGGGCATCAACAAAAAGAATGAATTTTATCCTTTCAATTTAGCAAGTGTGCTTAGGAGCTTTACAACTATTTATTTTCTTTTAAGCTTTTCTGCCACTCCCAGCACCTGGCCTTTTAAACTTCCCATAAAAACACTACCACCCATAATTTTTTAAGGAGGTGGCTACTTGCAAAGAAGCAAATGACTATGACCTACAGAAAAATGCAGAAGCTTTATTTCAACAAGATAACATATTTTAGTATAAGGACAATTTATTTATTTTTATTAGAAGGCTTAAAAGTTCACCTGGTCAAGTTCAATAGTAAATTAGCCACAATGTTGTTCATAGCATCAAAAGGTTTTTCTTGAAGATGTTTTATTCCACCTGTACTCGAAGTCACCAAGCTGCTTTGTTTTACAGTCGATCCTAGCTTTCCAGAGTTGGTCATCTGGTTAATTTTACTAACTATGTCAAATAAAGACTTTGGAAGATGGAAAAAAAAAACAATGAAAAACATTTATATTATGCAAAGTTAATAATTTTTGTACAGTTCTAATTAAATCCATTGAGAAGGGAAGATATTTTCAAAGAAGTTCATCACAATGCAGGAATGCAGCCTTATCATGTTTCTAATATGTTTCAAATACATTTAAATCTCAAAAGACAAAAAAGGCAAAACTACAATGGACTGGATTTTATAATAGAATGACAGATTTAGTTGATCTTAGAGTAGCTCCATGAAATGGATAGAGCTTATATTCTAAACAGTGCTTTCAATTAAGGAGTTGGATTAGGAAGAAGAAAGACCAGGTGCATGCTCCTTCATGGATATTCAATATGTGATTGTGGATTGTCAATCACTCAGCCAAATTCACAATGGAAATGTGAATAGGAGAATGCAATTTACACTGCCTTGGGCTCCTAGAGATTGGACATACACATAAACAATAACATTACTATTAAAACTAATTATAAAGTATTTTTTAATTAAAAAGTTGCAAGATGCTTCACAAATTTAACATCCAAACACTTGCTAAGTGAAAGCAGACAACCAAGCAAAATATTTAATTCCTGTTAAGTGCAGATATATTCATATATACATACAATATATATACAAGAAAAGTGAAAAATGTACACAATCTGAAGAGAAATCAGAATATATATTATCAGACTATCTCTGTCTGTGTATATATACACACAAAAAATATATCAGGGATGTCAAACTGGATTTCATTGTGGGCTGCATCATGGTTGTGTTTGGCCTTGGGGGGGGCAGGGGGGGGGGCGTAGCCACCTTGACATTTGTTGAGGCTCTGTTTTTGGCCGTGATGGCCTCCTGCAGCCCTCTGCTAGCAAAAACGGAGCCCGGGTGAGCTGTGTGCGGCCTCCGTTTTCGCTGGCAAAGGGTTGTAGGCCATTGCAGCCAAAAATGGAGCTAGGGAGGGCTGAGCGGAGGCACTGTGGGCCAATCCTTTGCTGCTTCCAGAGTGGCCCCGCAGGCCAGATTTAAGCACTCTGCAGGCCAGATCCAGCCCACGGGCCTTGAGTTTGACACCCCTGGTATATACGTATATGCACACATACATATTGGTTATATACTTTTTAAATAAGAAAATATTTTATTTTAAAAAGTGCAAAAATGTCTCTTCTGTTCACTTTAAAAAGCAAAGTTGTCATTGGTCTTGACTCAGAATAGTTCTACAATGGAAAAAACATGAAGAAGCTATCAGTTCAACATTTGCACTATAAAATTTATATTAAAGATAGAAAAGAACTACTCTTCTAATGAAAATTCTCAGGCCCTGACAAATGCTTACTTCATTTTCAATTGGTAATACACAGTCAGCATGTTCACTGAGTTCCTTCATAGCCAATACACTGTTATATGGAGATGTGATGACATCATCCTCACGTGATGGATAAACTGAAGTCACAAATCTATATACTTCTGGAAATTCATCTTCGAGTACTGTTAGTAAAAATGTACCAAGACCAGATCCTGTTCCTAGAAGAAATAAGGAAATAACTACAAAGCCAAATGACCTGTCTTACAAATTTTAAGAATTTTTTAAAAATTCAAAATCAATGTTTATACAATTTATCTCAGGCAACGTTTTTGGAAAATCTATGAGAAAATGTCTTAGACGATGGCATTATGAAATGCAAGAACTCAAAAGTAAGCTAACAACAACATGATTTTTGTAAAGTAGATAAACATAAATAAAAATGTAATTTAAAAAATTGCACTGAGATTCACTAATAATTTTAATGAATATATCTTTTGAGGCAAATTGCAAGATATCTCCTTTATTTTAAACATCTCTGTTTTCAATGTAGTAAACTTTTTAATTCAGTTAATTAGTTCAGTTAATTCAGCATTCAGTTTTTATAGAATTTTTGTAAACGGCGATTGGGCGTACTTTGCCCAATGCAATAGCACTTCCAATAACATGACCAGCAAGGTGGAAATGGAAAGAACCTGAAAAAATGTTGCCTCACAGCAAACAGAAAAACAACTGGGATGCTGGATTCAGCTCTCGGAAGTCAGAAATTCCTGTCCAATTTTAACCAAATGGAAATTTCTTATTGGATGTAGTAGTGTATGCTACGTTTTCCTTCACGTCACCTGACAATGCTATATCTCTGGGACTAAAACAATACTTACCCCCTCCCATTGAATGAATAACAAAGAAGCATTGCAGACAGTCACAGTGCTCTGCAGTTTTCCTCAATTTTTCAACAATATGCTCTCGGTACTGACATCCATATACATTGTGACCCACAGCCCTGAAAATAGGAGACTTTTAATATGCTACCCTTCTATTTTAGTGCTAATATTAACATGCCATCTTCTGAGCTCATATGCATTAGTTTAAGCACATTTAAGCACAGGCCACATGATAAATGGAAGCAGGCCTCTTAGCCCCTTCCTCTTCTTTTGGTCACACTGCTTTGCTTTTCCCATTCCACAGCTAGTAAAGGCAAAAGCTGGTTGACCTAGACAGAAAGGGCAAAATCTTTTGTCTGTTTAAGGACATTCTTTGCCATCATGAAGACAAAAAAATAAACAACAAAAATAAACAAGAAACAATTAAATTGATACCAATAAACCACTCTTAAATTTACACTCTTCTGGTCTTCACAGGCCACTTAAAATGATTGTGGCCATAAGCCAAGAACTACCTGTACATACCTTCTATGTAATTTGAAACCTGTCTAAAGAGCATTTGTATGAAGTTGGGACTGGGGGTGGGTGGAGGACTTAAAGGTCTAAATCTGTTATTTGGTTAGCTGCTCCAATTTGTTCTTAGATGACCGAATGAAATGAAGCAGCAGCAGTTAGGAACAGATGAGCACGTGCCTGAGAGGAGAATTTGGACCAGCTGGATTCTTCCTCCCCACAAAACCAGCTATTACCAACTGTCCTAAGAGAGTTATTTCAAAAGGCAAGCAAACAGACTGCACTTGTGTCATCTGGACTGTTTCCAACCAACTCTCCTATTGGAATAAGTCTAAGCCATCATATAAAGGTTTATATTCCGAAAATCGGGATACAAAGTATACAATGAATAGATCAATACAATTATATGGGGGGGGAAATGAAATATCTATTTATGGAAGCATGAAAACAGGAGATATGAGATATTTGGCAAGACAATTATAATTTTGGGATTTAAATATTTATCTTAATATCCTTTCAGGGATTGCAGTAAGTGCAAAAGATAAAAAAATTATATTGCATTTGAAGTTTTACAAAGAGAATCTGGTTGAAGATTTTTATGAAACTGAATTTATTCTTACCAATTGTTCCCTGAGCCAGAAACATCTGTGATCAGCTGTTTGCTATCAAACACCTCTCTTAATGGCCCCTGAAGAATTTCATTCACTACACCCTCTTCCATGTCAATCAGTAGAGCCTTAGAGAGCAGAATAAAAACAATTTACTCAGCATATCTTTAAAAACAGGACATGAAAATAAAGTAGGTATCTGCTTTGTTTAATTTTCACATATACTTTTAATTTTCAAAAAGCTGACTCCAGAAAAATGTGCCCTATATTTTCATATAAAATGAAAATTTAATTTCAATTATAATTAAAAATAGCTCCAGGATTAAATGTACGCAAACATTATATACAAACCAGTAAATGTAACATTTATATACTAAGATACGCTTTTACTAAACTAATATTTGCTATTATGTGTTAGTTAACTGGATTTATCAACATGATCTTGTCTCAACAAGCATATTTTCTAAGCTCCAGCATGATTTTTTTTTTTTTAAGTAACTCTGATTAAACTTTGTAGTTTTAATAATGATGTTCAAGCCAAGAATACTTCTGCAGCAAGACTGCTCAGGAAAAATAATGACTCTTGATAGTATATATCAACCCTTTCTGACAACTGAATATAAAAAGGGAAAAGTTATCCAACAACCATAAAGACATTTTTTCATTAAGAGAAACATCTGTGCAGACAGATTTTTCCATGTAATCTATCTGCAAAAGTGTTATTTTCATTTTTAAAATTTCTTATTCAGATTATACTCACAATAAATATATTAAACAAAATTTGTTTTTGAAACTTAATTTAGTAGTTAATAATTTTAACTACTATTTAGTTTATTAGTAAATTTAGTAGTTAGTAAGTAGTTAATTTAGACATACATACACACATATATATAACTACTTACTTTATTGCTAATCCTATATTGTATGTATGTACTGCATGTGAGAAATAAATTACATCTGACATGATGTAACAGTGTTATAACCTGCACAATAATAGTTCCTTCTAATAGTTCACTTTACATTTCCTTCTGAGGTTCACTTTACATTCCCTCTCCTATCTATTTGAAAATGGGGCAAAATATGAGCAGATATTATAGAGCTTTACAAAAGATAAAGCTGAATGACACAAAGACCTCACTTTATATGATTTAACCAATCACATAAATATTATTTCAATAGTTACAAGGTAAATATGTTTGAAAATAAAACTTTCCAAATTAGGAACAGTTTACAGTATTGTCTACAAAGCAAAAGAAAGGGTTAAATTAAATATTTTCTCTTCTTACACGTGCTTTTAAGGAACAGATTTTTCCTCTGGAAATGTCAGCACTGTCACCATCTGTTCTAGAAAAATCAGAAGTCAGTTAGTTATAATCATGGATAAAGATCAGCCTGCCTTTGCATGTGACATCATTCTCATTTTATAAAAGAAAAACATTGACACATAAAAACTGAAAAATACTGTCCCTAATACAAAAGAAACAAAAGAAATATAAATATTAAAAAAAAAGATGCTTGGAATATGTAACACTTTTTGCAGGATCTCAAATAGATAACATTGGAAGACTATAATATTATCAGCACTATCTTCCTACTTATCATGAAGCAAGCCAAATAAGAGGGGGTTTTTTCAGTGCAACTTGATAAAGTGATGGCGTTATAGCAGGTCAATATATTAGCAAATCAGAAAGATACAACTATACCATGCAGGCAATGGGGCTTTGGCTTGGAAATAGCTTTTTGTTCAGGCTATGGAGGATAGCAAGTAAAATTAGAGTGACAAAAAATTGGATGAACAGTTAATATCCTCTCTATCCACCCACCACCTTTGCTGCCAATTTATGACCTAATAGCTCAGAGATTAAAAAAAACAGAACTATGATATTATTCTAAAACAATGAATACCAAGAATTATGGCCCAGTCTGAATAAATTAAGTCATGACAGTGGTGTAACATTTAATTAAATCTCTATACTGCAGATCTAATCTAAATGATTGTTTACAAATAAATTTATTTTAAGTCTGCAACAAGTTGACATGAATATCACAACACAACTTACCCACTGGGATTTCACTTAACTAATCCAGTAATAAAGACATACAAGCTTCAATTCTATACTCACTTAATTAAACCCCATTTAATTGCTCACATACAGAATTATAACAAAGCAGATTACAGATTACAGCATCAATGGCATACAGCGAATGATAAAATCATACCATTAATGCCAGAACTTTATTTTTCATAAGAGAAGAAAATGCTAACTTTCAGCAATGCAGTGTGACACAAAAGACTCTCTCAACATATACAGAATAGTTTTAAAACAAAGTATCTCAATTAACGTATTACTGTACTTCCCAAAGAAACTTACCTAGTGTTCACATTTCTAAAGAAACTGCTTAATGCTTCATCATAAAGTCCTTTCTAAAATAATAAAAAATACTTTAAGTAAAAACTAAACTTGGAACTTGCACTATAAGTTCTAGCACAAACATTTAAAAATAACTTTTTGAGATTATATTCCTTATTGTATTTCAAAAAACATGGGTGTGATTCAAAGAATGCATAATGCGTTTATCTGGTTTTCTTGTACAGATACATTCCGAAGTTATTTCAACTAATATTCTGCAAGATGGCTTTGGATTTTTTGACAGGTAAGTTTGTAAGTAGGCTCAAGACATACTGAAAACTAGTCTCTCAAAATCTTACAGTAAAATTCATGTTAATAACTGTGTGAAGAAATAAAAAAGGACAAATTACCTGTACTATTCAGAAACAAAAAACATAACTGAATTATAATACTGTTAATTAAAACAATGAATAATAATGAGGAGTTTGGTAGTACCTTTTCAAACTGAAAAAAGTTAAAAGCATAAGTTAAATGGCTTAGGCCCAGGATACCTGGCAGACCATCTGCGGCCAGCGACAGCTCCCCATCGCCCGGTGCATTCTCACAGGGAGGGCCTCCTTGGGGTCCCATCGGCCAGAGAGTGTCGACTGGTGACTCCCAGGGAGTGGGCCTTCTCTGTGGGCGCACCCACTCTGTGGAATCACCTCCCCCTGGAGCTCTGGGTGGCTCCTGACCTTCGCTCCTTCTGCCGTGATCTTAAAACATGGTTATTTGGCCTGGCCGGATTGGACTGAAGGAGTTTTAAATGTGATTTTAACGGGTTCTTATATTTGTTATATTTTATAATTGAATTTGTGTATTTATTGTGAGCCGCCCCGAGTCCTTTGGAGAGAGGGCGGCATACAAGCCCAAATAATAAATAATAAATAAATTATCAGGGGATGTCTTATTTTCAGGGAAACAGGATAATTAAATTGAATTGTTGAGTTGTCCTGCGGCAAGTTGGCAGCTGTGAATTGGCTGTGGCGAGTTGTCCCATTGTGCCTGACACTATTCTGTGATCACACAATAAAACAAGTGACGGATCACCGAACAAATCAGCCCAGAGTTCTTTATTTGGTACAGAATTCATCAATAATCGAAGAGGTCTATCCGCACGAAGCCACGTTAAGGAAGTAAGGAATAAAAAAATTAAAAGGGGGTCGATGGATTTTACTGGAATCCCACTCCACCTAACGGTTTGCCGGGGAGCTCCAGAGCATCATTGGAACCGTAGCCATGGCAACAGAACGCCGGGAGGGCCGTTAACCACAGTAACCAGTCGCCGGGAACAGAAGGGCTGCAGCGCCTCACCGTGGCAGCATAAATGACGGCGATGGCGGAAACCACCTCGCCGCAAAAGAGGGGAATCTTCGTTGCCGCGTTCCGACTCGGTAGCCTGTTTGCTGTGGTCTTATGCGGATGGACCACAATGGCAAAACAAGGAAGTAAAGACACCCCCCCTTTTTTTTTAAACAATGAGAAGGGAAGCGGGTGAGCAAGGAGCCTTTGGAAAGCATAACTACGCATGCGCTTATACTAGTGGGCACGCCGCATTTTTTTTCTAAAGAGGCGGGGCTTGTTACCTTATTAACAGTCGCGTGTTCACGTAACGCCAGATCCCAAAAACGGCAGCCTATTTGGTTTCCGCATTGACCCACTGTATTGGGAGAGAGGAAAAAGAAAGAGTGGAGGGAGGTATCCGTAGTGGAAGCAGAACGGAGGAAAAAAATAAAGGGAAAAAAAAACCTAAGAGAGACTGGGAATGACGTGCACGCTCACCCTGGACTACTACAGACTGTGTCATAACTGCTGCTCGCGCCGGTCTCGTGTCTCACGCAGGTCGCGCCTGAAAGATACTAGTCTCCCCACCTCCCTCTGTTCCCCCGCCGCTCCGTTTGGAAGCGGCTTCAGAGCAGGAACGCGGACCCCCCCCCTCCTCCCCGCGCCTTGCTGATTGGACGCTCGCGCGCGCGAACCAACGGACATGGCGGGTGTGATCGTTTGCAGTGGAGTGGGAGGAGGGAACAGTTTCAGCCGTTGGTTTGGGCGCATGCGCTGAGGCCTTTTCACCGATTAGCGCGGTTTTGAATTCTTTCCGCCTGCGGTAATGCCGGTTTATTTTGGAGATGGGTTTGTCGCTCGTTTGGTTTTTTTTTTCCTTCAGGATGGTGACCGGCACGACTCGTTGGCAAAAGAGTACGCATCTCTTCACGTAGCAGCGGGAACTGTGACGCCAGCCGTTAGTAACGGCATAGTAATATATGATAATATATATCATATATATTATACAAATTATATATATGCTTCATACAAATTATATATATGCTAATCTAACTCAGGCCGCGTTAGATATCTAACGCGGCCTGAGTTTTGAGTCAGGGTTGTGGGTGCTGCCTCCAAATTAACGAGCCCTTCTGATTAATTTCGGGTGTCAACTCTCATAATTCATTATATAATTCGTAATTCATATGATTTCACATAAGCAAGTGTTACATGCCTAAGTGGAAGTGATCGTCACTTAGTGGAAATGGACATTGGAGCCTCACCGCCCACCCCCTCCACTCCGTTTGAGAAACACTCTAAGCTGAAACACATAAAAGGAGAATACAGGTAGTCCTTGGCTTAAAACCACTACAGAGCCCAAAATTTCTTTTGTCAAATGAGAGATTTGTTAAGTGAGTTTTGCCCCATCTTGCCACAGTTGTTAAGTGGGTCACTGCAGTTGATAAGTTAGTAACCTGGTTGTTAAGTAAACCCGGCTTCCCCATTGGCTTTGCTTGTCAAGAAGGTCACAAATGTGAGCTTGGGACAAGGCAACGGTCATAAATATGAGCTAGTTGCCAAGCATCTGAATTTTGATCCCATGATCATGGGGATACTGCAAAGGTCGTAACTGAAAAACAGTCCTAAATCACATTTTTCAGTGCCATTGTAATTTTGGATGGTCATTAAACAAATTTGCAAGTCAAGGACTACTTATATAGTATTCTGAATGGAAATAGATCATAAGAGTTATAATATGTTTTTATTTTCTCTTATTTTAAAATGATTTTGATGCTATTTATATAGTCTTCATTTTACTGTTTAAATTGTAACATATACAGGCATACCTTAAGAGTGGTTTCTTTTTAAGACCAGTGCAATAAGTGGTGAATATTACAATATCGGTAGCAGTCACATTTTTACGGGGTTTCCCAGTACAGATAAAGTTATGTTTACACTGTGCATTTAATCTATTAAGTATAATGTGTTTAGCTTTATTAAAAATATTCTATTGTTAAAAACTGTTAATCATTTGAAACTTCAACCAGTCATAAGCTTTTTGTAGGTGGAGGGGTTTGTAAAAAATGCAATACCTGCAAAGTGCAATATAGTGAAACAAGATATGTCTGTAAGAAAAGGATGAGTCTGTATCATAATCTTCAAATAGGTGCACTCACACTGATTTAAGCTGCTCTAGCCTGTTTAGCAGCTGGCCATTGAATGTGCAATTTAAGGTCTGAAACCAGGAATATGCTAGGATGGTCTTTTGTCCTGTTCCTCCATTGAAAACATTACTACATTAAACTATACCACTCTTAAGAATTTTGATTGCTTATCTCTTCTCTGTTTTTAATACTAAATGTTCTAAACCTGTATACATTTTCATGCAAACCAAATATTGCTAATGTCATAATTAGTTACTAATAATTAGTAATAATTAGTAAGAACTGAACATGATCTTTTTGCAATGATTTTGTAAAAGCCAAGATAGTTTAGTTGAGAGTTCCCAAATCTTTCCGGCTTTGTGGAGTGGCTGGGGTGGGGAGGAGAGAGGGGAGGGTTCCGCACAATGTATTGCCCACCCCTTTTGCAGCCCGGTTCCAAATGGCTCAATGCACGATAATGGGCCACGGACCGGGGGTTGGGGACCACTGATCTAGGTTGCTCTGAGAATAAGAGGGTAAACTAAGGTATGTATACAGTAAAATAAGGACTGGGTGGCCCTAAAAAAATATCAGTACCACTTAACTTTTTAAATTTGTTTCTTTCCTTCAAGACTCATTAACTAAGACAGTATTCCCATTTTCCTACTATATGATATGTTGTTTGTTGGAAATACAAATCCAGTCTGATATGAGACTGAAGTTGTGTAGTAGCTTTTGTTATTATAAATTAATGCTTCTACCTGAAATAAAAAATATTCTATGGTTCTTAAGGGAATAGAAATTTGGGTAACAGATTCAGATTATTTTTTTTATGAAACTGCTTTTCAGTTGGAATTGTAGTGGAATGGAAGGACTAAAAAACATTCCCAGGCCAGTCAGAGACAGTTTATTGCGCAGTTTATTGCGCAAGGTTCAGAGCCAGATTTGTACCTGAAACTTTGAACAAAGAAAGAACTCTGATACAATGGTTTTTATACATTTCTAAGACAAAGGATTCGGTGAGATCATGCATTTTCCATATATGGTTAACATGAGATCATACATCCGATTTTCCTTCTATGGTTACATACTCTGTTAATAAGTTCATCTAATTACTTAAAGCATTAATCTTAGTTTATAAGATTATTTTAGCCATACAACTTTTCTTAAGTGCTCAGAGTCGCTAATGGGAGAGTTACTACTGTCCTTGGGTAAATTCATTGGATTAAGTAACTCTTTGTAACATATAGGTCTTTGTGTCATTCACAGTCAGGTCACTCAGATGTTTTTCCATATAGCAGTCCTTTCCGTGACATCTAGGTATCAGAAGATATATTACCACTTAAAAGGGTTTAACTGTTTGTTAATATAATTTCCAACAAGCACTTTCCTCTCTTATAATAATGTGAATAGATAGGGTCTCTCAGAGTTCATGTATCCAAGCACGTCTTCCCCTTATAATAATGTGAATAGAGAGGGTCCCCCAGAGCCCATATATCTGACTCTGTATGATTCCTATTTTATTCACATTATTTCTTTTATCTACGTTATTCTTTATTTGCTCTTTACCTCAGAATAAAGTAAGGAAATAAAAGGTGGACTTGGGTAGTAATATAATTTGATGACATTAGGGCATTATACGTATAATAACAACAACAATAATTTATTATTACAGTCTTAGACCAGAACAAATAAAAGCACTCAATATATATACACTTAAAACTTCTAGTAAAAAATATTAAATAACAACTAAAACCTATAATAAAATCCAATATCAATTATACATGGTCTGACTATACTATAGTTGCAATCCCTAAACTGTGTGGCCCGTTGTAGGTTCAACGCTAAAAGGGAAATGACTAAGTGCAAAGGGTTTGCTACAATTATATAACATTGCTCCACATTGCGTGGAGAAGACAAGTGCTTGCAACGAATCCCCAGTGCTGCTGCACAGAATCTGGCTACCTGTGCTGTAGTTATGGACTGTTCATCCTTAAGCAGCCACTGAAGATAGGTAGTGTCGGAACGGCCAGGATACCTAGCAGTTATTGGCAGAATATGTTTTTTCCTAATCTCCGTATAAAAGGAACATCTAAGGAGCATGTGACCCACAGTCTCCACCTCTCCTGAGCCGCAGGGATAGCCTTTCTGTGAATAGTATCCTTTTATACTTGCCACACAGGACGGCCGATGGTGAGTTGTATAATATACAATCAGAATATCCACAATTCTACAATCAAGAAACAGTTTAACAATCAAGTATCCAGATTTCTCACGAACAACTGAAAATACTATTTATAATGAAAATGGTTTACTGTAAGGATAGGAAATGGAAAGTGGTTTATTTATTCAAAAAAGTGGAAGTGTTCTGACTTGCTGTTGTCCATTTAGTAGATACGTTGACCTTCAAACGCTAGAAATCATTTATTGGTTGTAATTTTTCCTCTACTTATTTTGAGGCTGATAAATAAGTTTATCAGTTATTCCCATGCTGATGGTAAAATGCGCATGAAGCAAAAGAAAACTTGATTGCATATGCTGCTTTATCAAAAGAGACAGATCTGACCTTTTATAATTTGCAAAGAATATTCCATCAAGAAACATATTCATTAACTTGCCATGATTGTTCAAATTCTATAAAATCTAAGAACTGATGTTTTATTTAGTAATAGTTTATTATTTTTATAAGAGTATTTCCACATGTATTGTTTTTGCTTATGGGCATCTGGCAAGTGATTCATAATCAGCTTGTTTGCATCAGTTCAATCTTGGCTCTGGATCTCAATTTTCACTTAATGTTGGTATTCAAGAGCAAAGTACTCTTCCCCCCCCCCTATTTTGATACCAGTGTATTTGAAAGTGGAGCAAATATGGTATTTTACCACAGTGCTGTAGACCATGCTGTTGATTCATTTTCCCATTGGGGAGAACTTTTGCCTCATGCTGTTGCTTTTCACAGAGCTTCAGTATCACTTAGGATGTGCCTGTCCCTTTCCAGTGGCTATAGCAACGTAATTAGTGATACTGGGAACGTGCTTGCTTGTAAAAATGTTGACATATTCTCATTTTGGCTTCATAGCTTGAGAATTTTAATCTTAGAAGCAAAGGCTTCAGAACAGGTGGAAATTTTTCCCATGATATAAACTATTCCATGTTTTTTTTTAAGTTTACATATACAGTAAAATATGTTAACTCTGCTTGGAATTTGTTTTATTTCTCGTTTATGTAGTTGGAATTGTTAATATTTTTATTATATGTTGGTCTGCAGTAATTTAAGCAATAAGGTTTGATTATTGTATTAGTCTGCTGAAGGCAATAACTGAATGACTTGGGCTCTCTGTAAGGTAGCAGAACAGAAGATCAGAGCCTTGTGCTCTGGAAATAATGTGGGGTAAAAATAGTGACAATATAGAAGTACAGTACTGTACTGTACACTGAACTGTATTAGTTCTACGTACAGACAAGTTTAGGAAACTTGTAATCCCAGCCAATG